GAGTGTTCGTCTCACCAGATTAGGAGTGAGGAGATTGGAGTCTAGCCCTGGCTTTGCTTCTAACTCACTGTGTGACTTCAGGCTTCAGTTTCCTCAGCAGCAGAATGGCAGAGTTGAATGAGATCAAAGGCTTTTGGGAGCCTTATAAGGAGGCCTTGGTCATCGCCTTGGAAACGGTAGGGGGCAAAGAGAGATGGTACCTGGGCCCCTGGTTCTCTTCACTCAGAGCGGCCCCACTTGTATCTGTTTTATACACGGAGCCTCCTTCTCAGATGTTACCTTATCCCAGGTTTCGGAAGAAGCAGATCTTGAGGCAGAAGTGTATGTGCTAACACTTTATGATGGAGTACGATGCTAGGGAAGCTGAGGTGAGAGAGAGAAAAGGAGGGAGAGGGCACAGAGGACTTTGCTGAGCTGGCTGCTATACACCTCCCCTAATGCTAAATCTTATGGGACCTTCTTTAATGAGGCTGTATGAAGCTTAGGACAGTCCACCCAGAAAGAGGAAGAGAAAGGAATTTATCTGCCAATCCCTGTCTCTTACTGGTCAAAGGTTCACCCCATGGAGTGTCTGACACTCCTGCACTCTCAGGCCAGAAATTTGGGGGATCGGGGGGTGCCATTGGCTTGTGCTGGTGAAACAAGCGGCAAGACCTGGAAGACAGGTGTAGCTGAGAGGATCTTAGGTGGACATTAAAAAGGAGCTCATACAGCTCTAGTTGGAAAAGAGTGAGAACTTCTGCTAAAATAAAAGTTGAGGGCTTCCCTGGTGGTGCAGTGGTTGAGAGTCCACCTGCCGATGCAGGGGACACGGGTTCGTGCCCCGGTCCGGGAAGATCCCACATGCCGCGGAGCGGCTGGGCCCGTGAGCCATGGCCGCTGAGCCTGCGCGTCCGGAGCCTGTGCTCCGCAACAGGAGAGGCCACAACAGTGAGAGGCCCACGTACCGGAAAAAAAATGAATAAATAAAAATAAATAAATAAAATAAAAGTTGAAACCACTGGTCTGTGTAATCCCAAAGGACCTTCCCAGCTGCAAAGTCCCTTGATGCTGTTCACTGAAATTGCAGCTGAGACCATTTGCCTTTCTGGTGGGCAGGAACCATGTCCCCAGAGAGTTGGAAGCCAGATTCCTGGAAATGTGTATTCCTCAGTGCCCAAGAGTTGGTGCCAACTTTGCTCTATCCCCCACCCCTGGCCCTGCTCCCCTCAATTTCCATGCAATTTGAGAGCTAACACAGATCGTATTTTTAAAGAGTTCTGATGGGACAGGAAAAAGGGGGGGCTGATAATCCCACCAGGCTGGGGGAGCTTTCATCTTGTTCATTCCGAAAGTCCCAGCCTCCCTGCCAGCCTGGACTCCCCTCCACTCAGGAGCAGCTGTTGGCTCCAGACAGGAGGCAGATTTGATGGTATTTAAGGGATTGGAGGATTAAGTGAGCCAGAGAGGCCCCCACTGCACAGCCTCATCCTCTAATGGCTGGAAGCCCACTCCTGGGTATTATTAAATCGATGATTACATCACAGGTATGGCATACCCCTACCTTTGGAGCCCAGCAGGCTTGCAAAGCCAGCAGAGAATGAGAGATTAGGGTCAGAGTGGGCAGCCTCAATCCTTCTTCTCTGGTGTATGCATAGATCAATCTGTAGATGGAAGATCAGACTCACCAAAATTAAATCTGGGATCCAGTCTGAGCATTGTCATTGGCTGACCTTGGGTACACTACTTCAGCTCAGGACATTGGCTTTCCCTGATGCAAAACAGGAACATCCCCTGCTTGCTGAAAGCAAACGTGCCCTTTAGTGGGGCTGGGGAGGGCATTGGGGGTGTGACCTGTGGGCTGCTGGAGCCCAGGATGATCCTGATGGAAAATGGTCCTGATGCAGGTGCCAGCCACAGTCAAGATGGGACATACGGGCTCTGATCCAAAGGAGAAGGAATAAACCCAATAAAATTCTCTCAAGTGAAAAGACAGGAAAGAAAATAGAATGGAAGTAGGCATAGCTCAAACCCCTCACATCATGGAGGGAAACCTCAGGTCCAAGGACAGACTGTTGTAAATAACAAACCCACCAGTGCCAGGCTCTGTGCTAAGCGCTTCACGTGCATTATTTCACTGAATCATCACAACCCCAATGCAGTAGATGCAACAAGCTTCTCCCTGTTACAGATGAGTAAAGTGAGGCTGAGAGGGGTTGAGCAATTTACCCAAGTGTCACAGCTAGTTAGCAACGGTATCAGGATTGAAATCCAGGCAGTCTGCCTTGCAGATTGTTCTCCGGCTTCTTCTTTTTTTTTTTTTTAATTGAAGTATAGATGATTTACAATGTTGTGTTAGTTTCTGGTGTACAGCAGAGTGATTCAGATATATATATATATATATATATATATATATATATATATATATATATATTCCTTTCCATTATGGTTTATTACAGGTTGCTTATTCTTTTATATTTTATATTCTTTTCCATTATGGTTAATACAGTTCCCTGTGCTATACAGTAGGACTGTGTTGTTTGTTCTCAGGCTTTGCCCATTGTTCTCTTCTCTCACAGGGAAGCTGTCTCCCCAGGTAGCCTCTAAGGTTCTAATTGTCATCTGTATTCCTGTGACTCCCAAGTCTGTCTGCCCAACTCCCAAGTCTGGCCTAAGTTTCAGATCCATGGGTCCATCAGCCTTCCTGACCCACCTCAAGCTTAATGTGTCCAAGGATGAATTCTCATTTAGCTCCAACCCGCTTCCCAAGGGGTACCTCCACCATCCACCCAGCTGCAGAAACTGGCCACTGCCTGAACTCTTCTCTCACCCCTGACATCCAAGGCACAGCCTTGGTACCTCCCACACAACTCTTGATGTCATCAATTCTCTCCTTTCCACTGTCACTGTAACCAGTCCAGGACCCTCACTAGAAGAACTGGGCCCCAGTCTCTAGTCCTGCCTCCTTTTATCCACCTCCCCGAACCCCCATGCTGTGGAGGGAAGGGTCTAAAATGCAAATATGTTGGTGCCACTCCCCTGCCCAACAGCCTTGAACTACTTCCCATTTGTTCTCTGGATAAAGGCTCTCCTCCTTTGCGCTGGTTCCTTCCCCAGGTCAACTCCTGTTGCTCTCCCTCCCTGCCCTCTGCTGCTCTCAGTGAACTTCTTTCTGTTCCTCCAAACATCAGGGTCTCTCTGGATGCCAAGCCCCCTGGCTGGCTGTCCCCTCTGACTGGAACACTCTTCCCCACTCCTCATGTGTTTGGTGGACTTCTGCTCAGACTTCATTGTCAGCTCAGAAGTCCAAAGTCACAGCTAGGATGTCCATTTGAAGCCCAGTCCCCCTAAACTGAATTCATGATTAATCTCTCCAAAACTTTATTCCCTTTCTTGTCCCCTCTGACCTCAATCCTGTGCTAACTGAACACTAATCAGCCAGAGTCAGGTGACTAAAACTGTTGTTGTTAACATCATTAATGTACTAAAATTGCTACTATAGATATCATCATTAACATACAAACCCAGGTTGTTTCTCCAGGGCAAGATGAGCTAACAGACCCCCCCAGCCGTGGACCACCTGGTTGGAGAATCATAACCAGAGATATCCGGACTCCTGAAACAACAATTAACAAATGTCACAAGACGATGATTAATCCCAGCCTCTTTGTTCTTCCCCTTAAAAAAACCCCCTAACTCAAAGACTAAATTGGAGTGGATCTGAGGCTTGTCTCCCACTCCCTTGCTTGGCACCCTGCAATAAACACTGTACTTTCCTTCACCAAGTGGACAAAAAAAAAAAAAGTTGTCCACCATCAAGCCATCAGCCACTGCAGCTGCCCCCACTGTGCACCCTGAGGGGAATTCAGGATGGAGAAAAACAGGATTCTGGCCCTAGATAGTTAAGATGCAGATCAAAGGTCAGTAAGCCCAGACTCTTGCATTTTCCCATACACTAAAATCATTAACTTGAGATGTCTGTTTTTCGTGATTAGCGGTAATCTTTTGACGTTCGACTACATTTTTTTTTTTTTCTCAGCAAAAACTCCTGTGTATCCTGGCTCCTCCCTTACCTCTTTGGAACAATTCCTCAAAGCTATCTGAGCTATCTGGCCTACAGTTCTCAGTAATGTCCCCGAATAAAACATAATTCTCAACTTTTAGGTTGTGCATTTTTTTTCAGCGGACAACCACAACTCATTGTCAGTAAATTGGCTTTGCTCCCCGTTTGCAAACGGAGTTCAGTTTCCTAAGGCCTCCTCCAGAAGCCTTGTCTGACCCCACCCCCTCCAAGTTTCCACCGTCGCAATACTCAGTACCTTCCCCAGCACACCACTTACCAATCCGCACCCCGAACACCCCATGTAAGCCTACTAGGGTAGGGCTCATCCATTCTCATATGGGATGGGGCACTGCTCAGGAGTTAATACATGTTTGAATGGAAGAGAAGGGAAGTAACTTTTACAAAACCACAGAGTCCAAGAAAGTGACAAAGCCGGAAATGGATTCTGCATCACCCTCCTCCCCAACCTGGAAAGCATTCGCTCTTCTTTGCGTCCTACCCTCCTATCCCACCGATTTTTGATTCCCAGCGTCAAGGGCCATAGAGTTGACATTTTAAGGAGTGCTATCTTCCATCTGAGGAAGGAAAGTGCATAACACAGTGGGGAAGGGCATTGAACCCGTCCCCCAAAGCCTTCCCGTCCCCAAGGACAAGGGAAATCCAGTCTCGTCTCCTCCCCAGGGGAGCATTTGGGTCGAATTAGTCTTTCCCCACGTCCCTAGCCCACCCTAGACTAATATCTAATATGCGGGTCTCGGGCAGCCTAGGCAAAGCTTCCCGCCACCGGCCACGCAGGGGACCCCAGCAGATCCCAGCTCCATTAGGCTACACGTTGTGCCCTCCTGCATCGGTCCCCACCCACTGCCTGGGACGCCACAGTCATCGGGCCCCTCCTTCCCCGCGCGGAGCCGGCCCCGCCTCCCGCGCTCCCGCGGCGCGTCTCTTGTCCCGCCCCCCGCCGGCCCCTCCTCTGGCCCGCGCCTCTGGGGCCGAGCGCTCTCCCGCCGGTCCGGACCGGCGCTGGATGTTTGCTTTCGCGGCAGTCAGGCCAGCCAAGCCCGTTTCCAGCTCGGGGCAGCGGGGCGGAGGGCCCGGCCGGCGGGGCAGCCATGGAGGCGGCGGCACGGAGGCGGCAGCACCCGGGAGCGGCGGGTGGCCCGGGCGCGCAGCCGGGCGCCTCCTTCCTGCAGGCCAGGTGGGCGCGCGTCGGCGGGCGGAGCTGAACCACAGCCCCGCCACGTGACGGGGAGGGCGGGGGACCGGGGCCACGGAGCCCGGGTGGGTAGTCCACGCGCTATCCCTGCAGCTGCTTCTCGCTCACTCCCCTGAGCCCCGCCTCCGCGCTCCTTTCTCTTCCTGGGGGAACCCCGTGCCCAGGGAGGCTCAGCGGCGGGGTTCAACTGCCCAGCGGCCCGGCCGGCTCTACGACAGTCGCTAAGCTGGGGTCCAGGAAACTCGGGATGGGGACGTCGGCGGCGGGCCCAGAGGACATCTCTGCTCACTAGGGACCCCAACGCGCCTGCAAGCCCCGGGCGCCAACCCGAGTTCTCGGGGTGTCTCTAAACTTGACTTGGGTTCTGATATTAACAGGAGACTCACTCCTTGCCCCGAGGAACCAAAGAATGTGGGAATGTAAATGGAACAGACAGCGAAATGTGGAAGCTCCCCTCCAGAGAAAGAATTAGGAAGGGCTTTTTCCACATGCTTGCTGTTCCCTTCTCTCAGTAAGGGGAAGTTATTGGTTTATGTAGCTGAGACCAGGTGCTTGGGGCAGAGGAAAAGGTACAGAAGCCACCTTTTAATCTTTCCCTCCACTCTACTTTCATACCATTTTACAAATTATAGACATTCATTGCACATAGTAGGCATTCATTAAGCATCTCTGTTGTGTCCAGCGCTGTGCCAGGCACTAAAGCGGTGGGTAAGGTGAAGCTAGGAGGGTCCCACAGTCCGGTAGGGTGGGCCTGGGAGGAACAGTCCAGGGGCTGAGAGGTCATCTTGGAGGGCTGCCTGGAGGAAGTGGAGCTTGAGCTGCATCTCAAAGAACTCAGTAGGTGACAGGGGAAGAAAGGCTGTTTCAACCAGGGGGAAGCTTGGGAAAGGCAAGGAGTGCAGTGGTGCTGGAGCTTTCTTTGTGTACAGTGGCAGGAGGATGCAGACGGATTGTGAAGGGCCTTGAATGGCAGCAGAGCTGGGACCAGAGTGAGAGCCTTGAGTGCAAAAATTAAGGAGATGCTCTTGGGGCACTAGTGTTCAAAAACCTTCCATGGCTCCCCTATGCCTACTTAAATGTTGGGCCCTGTGTGCCTCACTTGCCTCACCCTAGTTCCTGCCCTAAATGTCAGGTTAAGGATGCAGCTTTTGTTCTGTGGGGCACGGGGGAGCCATGGAAGGTTTTTGAGCACTAGTGTGCTCAGTTTTAGGAAGTTTGTGGTATGATTTGGGATGAAGTCTGAGAAGAAGTCTGAGAGACTTGGGTGAGAGTAGCTCTTTTTCATGCTACTAAGGACATCTCTGTTCCGGATCACCTATAAGTTGGGAGTCTTTGACTGCCTTGAACTGTGGTAGTACAATTAGAACAGCGTGTGAGTAGTGGATATGGTCACCACTTTATCTCATATGCAGGGTTTCCCCATACAGCATCTTACTCAGTCTTTTTGTATTTTGTATATGTGGAAACTGAGGTCTAAGGAGGTTTACATCATTTGCCGGCAAGAACCAGGGCCTAAACCCAGGGCTTCTGTTTTCTGTTCTTACTACTCCACTCTGGCTATTCCTCTTTACTCCTGCATGAGCTCCCCACCATCCAGGTTGCTCGTGGGGATGGCATGAGAGGCTGGCTGTCTTCCAGGGTGTCTCTGCCCCCCCTCATTGGGTGCCTGTAGGCCGGTTCTCAATATCATTGTTGCACAAGACAGTAGGCAGAATCATCCTGTCTGACTCCTAGGATGCTTGGATTTCCTCTGCTACATTCATGCTTTGCTTACATACCTCTAATGACAAGGTGCTCACTACCTTTCAAGGGACTCTATTCCAGTTTCCACCTGCTCTGTTGACAGTTTTTTGTATTGTAATCAAAGTAATACATGCCCATGATTAAATACAACTGCACAGACAGGCTTAGAGTAAAAAGCACTGGCCCTTTTTCCACCTCTCCCTAGTACCAGAGACAACCATGTTAGCTTCTTTTAACTGTTTCTACCAGAATTAAATTCATATTTCTAAATAATAATAACAAATACTACGTACATACCACTTTCTGTGGGCCAGGCCCTGCTCTTAAGTTTTTGCATTTAAAAAAAAGAAAAAGTTTTTGCATAATTTAATTCAGCCACAACTCTTGACGTAAGATCTAGTATTATCCCCCATTTTACAGATGAGAACATTGAGGCCCAGGAGGTAACTTGCTCAAGATTTGGTTAGTGGTAGAGCTGGGATATGAACCCAGGCAATCTCCAAAGTCCACACTCAAAAGCTATGCTCAGGGCTTCCCCGGTGGTGCAGTGGTTAAGAATCCGCCTGCCAATGCAGGGGACACGGGTTCAATCCCTGGTCTAGGAAGATCCCACATGCCGCGGAGCAATAAGCCTGTGTGCCACAACTACTGAGCCTGCACTGTAGAGCTCGTGAGCCACAACTACTGAAGTCCGCATGCCTAGAGCTCGTGCTCTGCAACAAGAGAAGCCACTGCAATGAGAAGCCCGCACACCACAATGAAGAGTAGCCCCCGCTCACTGCAACTAGAGAAAGCCCACAAGCAGCAACAAAGACCCAACACAGCCAAAACTAAATAAATAAATTTATTTAAAAAAAAAAAAAGCTATGCTCAACTGCTATTTCTTGGTTTATCAGTTGCCTCTAAGCTAATGTTTACCCACTAATTTCCTGTTATTATTTGGTTCACTTATGCCGCTCCTGTCTTCACAAGATGGTTTTGTATCACCATTTTTAGTTTTGCTCTTTGTTACCTTTGTAGCCTTAAGGAATATGTATATACCATTATTTCTTTTACAGTTAACTGTAAAGCAATATCTTTTTTTTCCCCAAAGTTTACCTATTTATTTATTTATTAAAGTATAGTTGATTTCCAATAAGGGCAGTATCTCTTGATTCCTTTTTAAAAGAATATTAGTCTCCTACCCTAATCTCTAGCATTCTTTACCGTTTCCCCAACTCCTGTCATCTATAGTTTTACTTTCAAGTTGTCAAGGTTCACAGTAGTATTTACCTGCTGTTTTTTAACCATAATTGCCTTCCATGTTTTGTCTGTGGATTGATTCTGAACTTTGGAAATCAGTATACAATGTTTTTATTAGTTAAGCCATGTAAATATTGTTCCCTACAGAGTCCAGTAAGTTTAACAGTTACATTTGCTTTCTTATATTGCTTTTGTTTTTCCTGGAGTTTCTAATTGCCTTTCCCTTTTTTCTCTTATTTTTTGCCTTCATTTTCTCATTTTTTGTTCAAACTTGTCATCATGTCAGGTATTTCCCCATCGTGTATATAGAACCAAAATCAGTCCCTCTATAGTCCCCATTCGTAGGTCCCTGCTTGACTCCACCGTGCCTGAGGCTGCTGACCGCTTTGAATATTTCATCTATATGTTATGTGCTTTATGGCAGGGGTCCCCAATACCCGGTGCCAGTCCACAGCCTGTTAGGAACTGGGCTGCACAGCAGGAGGTGAGCAAGTGAGCAATCGTTCATCTGCCACTCCCCATCCCTCCCCATCACCACCTGAACCATCCCCCTTATTGCTCGCATTACTGCCTGAACCATCCCCCATCTCCTCCCCCCGCACCGCCGCCCCCCCCCACCCCCGTCCATGGAAAAATTGTCTTCCACAAAACTGGTCCCTGGTGCCAGAAAGGTTGGGGACTGCTGCTGTATGGTATGCGCTCCCCAACTGTCGTGGTATCAGTTTTCCCAGATGGTAGACTTGTAAAGCCGTGGAGGAGGTTAAAGGCCATCCTTGTCTTGGGTTACCTGCCATTGTGCTTTCACTGTTGTTCTCAGCAGGAGTTTCTGATGATTGAGGCCTAGAGCTGGCATGGCTGGAGGCTAGGTGTGTGAAGTCTGTGAAGTCAGAAAGTTGGGTTAGGTTTGAGGATGCTCATCCCCAAGAGAGGGGCTGGGGGAGAGGATGCCTTCACCCTTCATGATCTGCCCCCTGTGCTCAGAGTCCCAACAGGAGAAAACCAGTCAGATGCTCACGAATCTTGATTCCCAAGTTAGGTGTCTGCCCTGCACCTGCCCTTTTTCTTCCTGCTCTGCTCAGCCAGGCTGGACTCCTGATGGGGGTCCCCCTTGACTGAGTGCCTCCTGAGGTGGAAGAGGAAATAGTCCCTGAGCCCCTAGTGTGTGCTTCGTATCCACAGCTTCCAGAGACCCACACTTAAGTGCTTCCCAGGCTTTCAAAACGCCTTTATTTCCTGTACCAAACATCCTGCTCTGTGCCCAGTTTGAAGGTTTCCAGAATAAAACACTGAGGACTGTCATTCTCCTTCCCCATCCAAGTTCTTCAGGCCCGGAGGTTGCCACCATCTGCTTTTTGAGGCCTTTCCCTGATGGTCACAAAGGGGAAGGGGCACTGTGGGGCCTCTATACCAGTCACTTGTCTCAGACAATGACTGAATGTCTGCCCCCGTCCGAAGGCCCAGCAGCCCCTCCTCTTCCTTCCACCAATAAGCCAGGCATCTGAGCTCCCTTCAGCACCTTTCTCACTTCCACCTCCAGGCCTTTGATCCTGCTCTCCTGCTGCTTTTCTGCCTACTGGAATCCACCCATCCGTGCTTCCAGGCTCCCTTTCTTCCTGCAGGTGTTGCATACTGCTTCAGGCTACACCGATCCCTCTCTATCTTGATCTCCTGATATGCCACAAAGCTTATAATAATCAGCAACAAAATAGCAAGCTACTTAGAGCACAGGTCTTGAATCCTTAGAGACCCAGGTTTGAATTCTCTGCCTTTCAGGACTCCTGGATTACGAGTGACAGAAAGCCAGTGTGAACTACAGCACCCTTAGCAAAAGGGAATGTATTGGCTCTTGTGGCCAAACCATTGCCTTGGGAACGCCTGGAACTGGGAATGTGAACCCTCTCAGGCCTTCTTCTCCTCTTTCCCTGCTCCTCTCTGCAGGGCTGCTTCATTCTCACCTGGCTGTCCCTTGAGGCTGGAACCTTGGCCACAGGCAGCCCCGCGCTCTCATCTTTAGCGTCCCAGCACCAGAAAGGAAGATGCTCTTTTCAACTCTGGTTAGAAAAGTCCCACTGCTCCGGCCTGGGTCACTGGCCCTCCCTGTGGCTCAGGATACATCATCTCTCACCAGAAGAAGGAGGGAGTAGGAAGGCTGACAAAAGGAATAGTTGATGCAGCTCCTTTTTTTTTTTTTTTTACATATGTCCACTCTTTTTTATTCTTTTCCTTATGATGCAGCTTCTTATTAGCGGGGGTAACCTTGGTTAAGCCTCAGTATCCCTATCTGTAAAATGGGAGGGTAACAGCCTCCTGTTATGGCTGTGGGGATTAGATGAGATGGTGCTGGTGAAGCTCCTAGCACAGCACACAGTCGGCACTCAGTAAGTGGTGGGCACTGAGCAGAGGGGACAGGAAGACTCAGTTGACCTAGGAAAGGCCCACTCCACCTGCCTTGCCTGCCGCTAGAGGATGATGAGATCCTCCAAGAGCTTGCCTCTCTGTGTCTGGGTTGCTCTAGCAGCCCAGTGTGGACCATACTTGGAATTGGCTAAAAAGGATCCCAGAAAGTTATGGAAGCACTAGCAGTGTTGACAGAGTAAAATCTTCATGGTGCCTCTAAGCTATTGTTTGCCACTAAAACGAATGAGTAACTGGTAACGGAGATTGTTTTATATCAGCCAGTAATCACTGAGCATAAATCAGGTACTGAGCTGAAAACTCTGGAGAATATGGACTCACATCACACAGCTCCTGGTCTTGGCACTAATGGGGCAGTACAACCTCAGTCGTGTTAGGAGGAGTGAGCTGCTTGTCACTGGAAGTATGCAAGTAGTGGCAGGGACACTGTAAAGAGGATTTGTACTCTGATGGGGAGGTTGGTGAGTTGAGAGAACCTTAAAATCACCCTTCTTCTTGAGGGTCTAGATACGAGCAAAACTCCAGCCCTGTGATGTCGTGGCCTGAGTGGGAGTTAGGGATGATGCACTCCCTGTAGTGGGCTTTGGGAAAAGCTTCATCAGGGAAGCCTTCTTGGAGGAGGTGGCACATGCACTGGCCCTTTAGCTTCAGCTCATTTGTGAAGAGCAGATGGCTGACTGCTCTGCAGGAGAGACAGGCATCCAAAGTTGTGTCATCAGATGGTTCTCCTCTTCTTGCCACGTCTCTCACATCACCTTGTCCCTGCTGCCTTCCTTCTTAGGTTTCACTGTGGATTGGTGAGAAGAAGGACACCTGCAGCCCCTTTCCTACCTCCTCATGGTTCAGAAACCAAGGGAAAGGGAGATCCCCTGTTCATCTCAGTGTATAGTCTGTAAGGCACATCTCACCAGAGGGCTCTGATTGATCCAGCTCAGGTCACATGCCCATTCCATGGACCAATCACTGTGGATACAATGATGGTTTAGAGGTTAAAAATATAAGCTCTGGAATCTAATCATTTAGGTTCAGATATTTAGCTATGTAACTTTGGGCAAGTTGCTTAACATCTTGGGCCTCAGTTTTTTCACTTGTGTAATGGGGGTAATATTCTAACCTCAGATGGTTTCTGTGAGAATTAAGAGAGTTAAATGAGATGGTACGTGCAAAGAGCTATAGTAGTGCCTGGAATATAGAAAGTGTTCAATAAAGGTTAGCTGTCATCATCCATCACCATGTTTCATGCTTTTCAGCCACATTTGTATCCTTTGCCCCATCTGATTTCCCCATCATCCTATAGGTAAGAAAACCCAACAGTTATTATACCCTTTGGGCATTTTCCTGCCTGAATCATAGAGGAGCAAAGGTCAGGGCAGATGGAGTCTACTCCCAGGATACCTCCCCATGGACCACAGTATTTCCAGCAAAACCTTTTCCTAGAACTTAATCATGTGTGTTTCCTCCTGCTCTCAAATCTCTGTGGCTCATCTTCATGGGGAAGCTTCCCATGGGAGGAGAGATGAGCTGACCCCTTTTGTCTGCCCCTTTCCCAGGCACAGCTCCGTCAAGGCTGATGAGGCTGCCAGCACAGCTCCCTTCCACCTTGATCTCTGGTTCTACTTCACCCTGCAGAACTGGATTCTAGACTTTGGCCGCCCCATTGCCATGGTGAGTGTGAAGCTGTGGACAGAGCCCTGACCAGCAGTGAGGAGACAGGGTGACTTCAATTGTCAGAGTGACCTCAGACAAGTCATTGCCTCTACCAGTACACTGTGAGAATAGGTCTGGATGCTTTCATGTCCTTTAGTTCTACGACTGTGACCAGTGCGGCAGCTGCCAGCAAGCGGGGGATCCGGGGGGGCCTGACTAGTCATACTGCGCCCCCCCCATATCTCACACCCAGGTTTAACCAAAGCACCAATTCAGACAGTGGGGTATGAGAAAGGATCCCACCTGCTTTCCCCACAGCCTTGGGATAGTATTGTTTTTCTGGAGGTGAAGAGTATAGGCCGAATTTGCCTATCATGTATGACTTGAGCCTTGGGTAATTTTTAGTGTCATCTGGTGAAACTGTCCCCTTCCCTCCAAGGCTACTTCATGCATCAGTGTCCAGTGGGAGCCTCTACGGAGATTAATACTGGAAGAGCACCAAATCCCCTCACTGGTCACGAATAAGATAGACAGACAGACAGACAGGTAACAGAAGGTGAAAAAAATTGAGTGAGTTCCCACCAAGAACTAAGGTGTTAATTTTTGCATGTGGGTGGTAAAAATAACAATATCCAGCACTGAAACTGACACCTCATACATGCTAGTGCTAATGCAAATTAGCAAAGGCCTTTGGGAAAGCAGTTTGTCAAGGCGATAACTAGTACCTAGAATAGTGCCTAGCAAGATACGTGCTCAGTATACTTGTACTGAATGAATAATAACAGCTAGAAATAGCGGTTAACATACATGGAGCGCTTGCTCTGTTCTAAGCTCTTCATGTGTTTACACTTATTTAGTTCTCCCACCAATGCTATCATTAATCTCAATTTTATAGATGAGAAGAGTCGAGGATAGAGAGGGCAAATAACCGGCTCAGGGTCACCCAGCCAGCAAGTGGAGGAGCCAGCACCTGCCTCCAGTCACTCTGGCCCCAGAGCCCACCCCCTTCCATCATGATTTTATCCAGAACCCTAATATGTTCATCCCTCCCAACTCAGTACGACCCCTGCCGAGCATCTGCCCTGAAGATGTAATCAGCAAGAAGACAGCCTCTGTACCAAAGGTGTTCATTGCAGTGTTGTTATAATAGCCAAAACTTGGAAGGGACTTGAGTGTCCGGCAGTAGGGACTGGGTAAATCAGCTTTGCTGTACACAGGCTAGAGGATGCTACCTGGGCATTAGACAGGAATTACGAATACTCTAGAGCAACCTGGAACGTTTAAGGAGAAAAAACATGCCTAAGTGTCATGCATATTGACTGCCTGCCAATTAGTAACGGCCCTAACAGTCTTGTATACATGGGATCAAAGACTTGAAGGGGATGAAGAAAAGCTTCCTGGCAATGGTGTCGGGGAGGAGGTATGGTGGCTTTCTGTAGGCTTGCCATAAGGTTTACATGTTTTTTAAATGTAGGTGAAAGTAAAAGGACTGAGCCAGGAGTCAGGGCACCCAGTCAGGTTCATAAGTGACTTTGGGCAAGTCAGTGTCATCTGGGCTTTGGTTCTCTCATCTGTAAGAAGACTGGTTGGACTAGCTGCTCTGAGCCCCCGTGCAGCATGAAGGTTCCACATACTGGGGGACAAAGGAGCCGCCCATCAAACTGGTGTTACAGGGAGAGGGGAGATGAGGCCAGGGGCAGGCTCATGGCTCTTCTCATTCATTAGGACTCAGCCTCATCTGGTCTAATAGGGGTCTCCTGCAGGGCAAATCACTTCCCCCATCCTGCTCAGAGTTGCTGTGGCCACTATAACCCTAAGTGGGCTTATCAGGAATATACATTTGAAAAACTCGTGTATACACTGGAGCTTTTCAAATGTACCCATGACAGTCCCAAATTTGTAATAACTACAAAATAAAACCTTTTACAAGTTATAAAAGTAATATGTCATAGTTATAACAAGTCAGTTCATACCCAGGGGTATAAAGAAGTGTGAGACTTTCCGTTTCCAGTTCCACCCCTGACAGTTTGAGGCTCATCCTTCCACTCCTTTCTCTACTCATGCAAACATATGTATACATCCTTTCTTTTTTTCTCTAACCAAAATGAGATTTTACTTTATACTTTATTTTACAACTTGCTTGTTTCACTTTAGAATATATCATGGATATCTCCCTGTCAGTACATATGAGGTGTCATTTCTGTTAATGGCTGCTTAACCTATAGAAAAGATGTACTGTAGTGTATTCAAGTAGTCAGCCTATTTCTGGTATTTTGCTATCAAAGAGTATTTCAGCCAACATATATATCTTGCTATAGGTAAAGATACAGAGATACCTGCACCCAGCAAGTAAGAAAGAGAAAGAGATTGAGAGTCTTACATCCTGAGAGTTTTATTTCTGAAGGGTGAATTTTTGATAGAAATTTATGGTCATTACACGTGTCCTCAATCAACAGATAGTGGGCGTACGGTGTGGCAGGGCGGAGGTTGTGAAGTGTTTTGACCTCGAATAGGGGTTTTCCCACTGACACCAACAAGGCTGGGACTCACAGCATAGAGCAGTAGGAGGAACAAGGGCATTCTAGACAGAGGAACAGCCCTGGCCTGCCTGCCTTTCTCAGGGAAGGTAGAAAAGGAAGAATTGAATCTTTGTAGAACTCACTTATTTTCTCCTTTGTTTCATAAGGTATAGTTTCGACCTGATTTGGAAGTGGTCCATCTGCTCAGTGGACAGAGTGTTTTTCCATACCTGGGTGGCTAGGAGATCTTGTCATCATCCTAGGACCTGGAGTGCCAGATCCTTAAGGGTCCATGTAGATCACCTGGGCCACATTTCGTGTTACAGATGGGGGAACTGAGGCCTGAAGAGGGGAAGAACTTGCCCAGGGTCACCCAGAACGTTGGTGCACAACTGAGTCCCAAAGGAGCCTCCAACTCTCAGGCCGGTACCCAGGGACCTTTATTTAATACCCACAGGGAGAGGGACACAGGGGCAGGCCCTCGATTTGTGTCTACTGTGTGCTTACCTTCTCTGGGACTCAGTTTGTCTGTCTGAAAACACCTTGACTTCAGTGCGGCTGAGAGGATCCCAAGAGATCACAGAAAGAATGAAGTGTGTGCAGAAGAGGTTCTGAGGGTCTCATGGGGCTGTGCCTAGTAAAAATCATTCCTCCCCTTGCTCCCCAGCTGGTGTTTCCTCTCGAGTGGTTTCCGCTTAACAAGCCCAGCGTGGGGGACTACTTCCACATGGCCTACAACATCATCACGCCCTTTCTTCTGCTCAAGGTACAGTCCAAGGCTCCCTGCCCTCCCTTCCCACCCTCATGTCTTCCTCCACCTGGCAGGGAGCTGGTGCCAAGCCCCGAGAGTGCCCTGAATCAGACTGTCCCCTGCCTAACTCCGGGGGACGAAGGCTGTGATAGAGGGACCTGTCAAGCCCCAGGAGAGGCAGGACTGCCTGTGGCCAGGAGGGATGGAGAAGGCCTCCCCAAGGAGGGGCGTTTGATTTCGGCCTCCGCCTGGTGTGCTTGGGGTTGAGCTGGGAGAGACCTTCAGGCAGGAGCACCTGAAGACAAGGCCGTGCTAGAGGAGCCATAATACATCTGGGGAGGCTGAGGTGGAAGGAGTGGCTGGATCGCCCAGGGCGAGGTCAGGGACCAGTTGGGAAGGCAGGTGAGGGCCAGGTGGCAGGAAGGGCAGCAAAGGAGGGTGAACTCTCTCCTCTGGCCTGGAGATCCCTGACTTTGAGGTACCACTGGGAACACAGAGCTATCTCCTAGATAGCTGCGGGAGATAGATATCTGGGTGATGGCTATCTCCAAGGTAGCTCTCGGCAGTGCTGGCTTTGCATTGTGCCACATAAGGGCCCTTAAAACTATTGCTGTTTACTGTCCCCATCATTTTGTTTTTAGAGAGACATTTCAGATCTCCAAAAAATAGGGAAGGTGTAATCTCAGAATTCAGAGGGTCTTTAGCGAAAGAATTTAGTTTCAGAAGCACCTGCCGCATCCCTGTCGTTTCCATTTCTGTTTGCTTGGATTGCTCAGTTGCTCGGAAACAGGAGGGTCTCCTCAACAGGCCAGCCCAGTGACCCAGGAGCAGAACTGGGGTGGTGGGAGGGCAGGACCTGGAGCCTGGATGCCTGTGTCATCTCCAGCACAGCCCGTGGGTGTGTGTGACCTTGGGCAGAGCTGGCCCTGCTGAGTGTGTTTCCTCTCCAGCACAAGAGGGTGCTGATCCCTGGCCCCTGCTGGGTTCACAGGGATCTTCTGAGACTCTGGAGGCTGGACTGGCCCCACTAAAGGGACCCACCAATTTGAGAGTGACGTTCCAGCTGGTGGCATCCATCCCACTCTGGGTGTGAGGGAGGGAAGCAGAGGGCGGCTCCTATCATGGTGGAGGCGGGGGTCATGCTGTCGGGCCTCCCTCTGACCTCAGCTCATCGAGCGGTCCCCACGCACCCTGCCGCGCTCCATGATCTATGTCAGCATCATCACCTTCATCATGGGCGCCAGCATCCACCTGGTGGGTGACTCTGTAAACCACCGCCTGATCTTCAGCGGCTACCAGAACCACCTGTCAGTCCGCGAGAACCCCATCATCAAGAATCTCAAGCCGGAGACGCTGGTGAGCCTCCACACCGGCAGTGCGATCCGTCCTGGGGCCCAAAGAGGCTGCCCGACCTATCACTGTGCCCTAGATGAGGGCAGCACCGCCCCCCCCCGCCCCCGCCAAGCTAGGATGCTCCTGTGTTGCTAGGAAGTGGCACGTAGGCTCCCACCAGGGCCCCCTCCTCCGGGTAGGGAGGGACTGAGGGCAGCTGGGGGAGGCCTGGCCATTGGAGGGAGGGGGGCCGCCGGGTTGCGTGGGGCCCGCACCCTCCCTGAAGCCCCTCCCACTCTGCCCCTGACTCGCCTCTGCCGCCCCCAGATCGACTCCTTTGAGCTGCTCTACTACTACGACGAGTACCTGGGCCACTCCATGTGGTGAGTAATGGGGCCCGTGGCCCCAGCCAGCTCTGCCGCCGGCCTTGGTGACACTGAACAAGGGCCTGGGGTCTCCAGGTGTCGAGCGCAGCGGCTGGAATGGCGTGCTCTTCCCGGCGGGAGCGCTGTCACTCAGCTCTGGCTCCCGCCGCGCCGCCTTCCGCTCCCGCCAGCGCGCGGTGCCCGCGGCGGCCACTAGAGGGCAGCGAGTGGCTGTCCTCCCTGGGCCGAGGCTGCAGCGCTGATAAACATTCTCCCCCACTCTGGGGATGGGGATGGGGACCCCGCCGGGTCGGGCTGCGGTCTTGGGCATGGAGGCGGGGAGGAAGATGAGCAGGTCCGGCTGGACTGGGGCGGGGGTGGGGCGGAGGCAGGGTGCTGTCTGTGCCCCCGCTCCTCCTAACTCCCAGGGGAGCGCCTCCCTCCCACCCCTTCACCCACAGTGGAGGAAACCTCACGAATGCGGGCTCAGCCACAGGAGATGCAGGGCCCAAGCTGGGGGCAGTCATCTGTTCCAGGCCCACACCTTACACAGGATAAGCTGGGGCCGGTGGGAGGGGGTTTGGCCCTGGGTTGACAGCTAGTGACGGAGCCAGCCCTGGGCCTGGGTGGCTCCACTCCCGAGCGAGGTGGGCTTACTCTTGTCGCACTTGCCCTACGCTGTGTTTCTAGGTTCTGTCTGGGGACCTGGAAGGTCAGGGGCTTCCTGGACAGGCAGGCCTCTTGCCAGTTCTCCCTGGCCTGTGCCAGAAGACCCTTCCGGGGGGAGGCTGGGGACGGGAGGAGGAGAGAGGAAGGGAGGCTGGAGAAACGAAGGAGCAGGAGAGGACTGGGCACATGAGGGGCAGGAGGGAAAGTGGGGAAGGAGACAAGGTGGCGCGCGGGAAGAGAAGGGGGGTGTGATGGTACAGGTGCGTGGGGAGAGCAGCCTGTGTGTGGAGAGGAGAGAGGGCGGTACCTTTGGGGTGAGATGGTGTGTGTGTGGAAAGGGGGTGAGGCTGTGGGCTGAGTGTGGGTGAAGGGGCTTCACAGAGCTCCTTGGAGTCCTCTGGCAGGTGCTGTCCCCCCCACCTTATTTTAAACTGGGACCTCGGGCCTCTCCCTCCTCGACCCTGCTGGGTACACCCCTTTCCAGGGCAGTGAGGGGCTGGGACTGCTGGTATTTGGGTGCGTACACGAGGCAGATACACACACACACACACACACACACACACACACACACACACACACACACACACA